AATCCTGCCCGAGTCTCCTTGCCAACCCCCACATTCACATGAGCGAAGCCCTCAATATAGAGTGTGTGTGTGTGTGTGTGTGTGTGCATGCGCGCGCGCGCGTGTGTGTGTGTGTGTGTGTGTGTGTGTGTCCTGTTATTTCTCCAGAGAGCTCTGACTAAAAGGGTGTCTTTCCATTTGTTTAGGTCTTCTGTACTCTCTGTCAATGCTATTTTGTACTTTTCGATCTGCAACTCTTACACTTCTTTGTTAAATTTATTTCTATTTTTTTGTTTTTTAATACTCCTCAAATAATTGTTTTCTTAATTTCATTTCAGATTTTTTTTTAATAATTATCTTTTATCCTACAGCCATGCCAAAATCATTTGCCAGCCCTAATGGATTTTTAGGGGATTCCTTAAGATTTCAGACAGCCAGGGTTGCACCATTCGAGGACAGAGGCAGTTTTACCCCTTCCTCTCCCAAATCTGGATGCCTTGTATTTAATGTTGTGGCCTCAGAGCCCTCCGAGCCTCTCCCGCCCACTGTTGCTTTCTGTCTTCTTTATTTCCTTTTAACTTATTATTTTTTTAAGATTTATTTTATTTCGGGCCTCCCCGGTGGCGCAGCGGTTGAGCGCTGGGTTGCGAAGCTGCCCACAGCCTCTGCAGCACCAGTTCAATCCCCAGCTGCTCCCCGGCCACCAGAGGAGGGTCCCCCATGGCGCGCAGACCTCTCCTGCCGCCCGCTGCTCCCCTCAGCAGTGTCCTTCGGTCCTCCTGCCTGCTCTGCTCCCCGCTCTGGCTCTGGTGAATTCTCTCACCCTCCCGCACTTCTGGCTGTACCCAGTGCTGTATAAATAAATAAATAAATCTTTTAAAAAAGGGATCTATTTTATTTATACAAGAGCCGGGGTACAGGCCAGATGCATGGGAGGGTGAGAGGACTCACCAGAGACAGCGGGGAACAGAACAGGCAGACTGATGAAATCCACTGCTGAGGGGAGCAGCGGGGAGACAGGAGAGGTCTGCTCGCCACATGACTTGCTCCGGGGCTGGCGGGGATCGGACCGGCGCTGCGGAGGCTGCGGACAGCTTCACAGTGCTGTGCTTGACCGCCTGCGCCACCAGGGAGGCCCTTAAGTTCTTTTTCTTCTTCTTCTTCCTCTTCCCCCTCTTCCTCTTCCTCTTCTTCCTCTTCCCCTCCTTCCTCCTTCCTCCTTCCTCCTTCCTCCTTCCTCCTTCCTCCTTCCTCCTTCTCCTTCTCCTTCTTCTTCTTCTTCTTCTTCTTCTTCTTTCTTTTTTCCCCTCTAAGTAACATTGGTATGTAACACCCGAGATGTTCCAGGTGTACAGACGTATATCTCAGCATCTGTATTACTGCTCTAGGCTTGTCCCCAAAGCCCATCTGTCACCACACAGTTCATCCCTTCTGCTTGACCTCTCCCCCTCCCCTGTTCTGGTCCCCACTATTTTGTTCTTGTAGTGTAGGTGTTTTTGTATTTCTTTCCCTATCTTCTGCCTATGAGTGAAATTATAGTGTTCCCTTCCCTGCCTGACTGATCTCACTTAGCATAATCCCTTCTAGGACCATCCATGTTGGTGCAAATCCAGGATTTCATCTCTGTTTATAGCTGCATAGTATTCCATCCCAACAACAACAAAATAGACCACCCAATTAAAAAACAAGTAGCTGAGGGCCTCCCCGGTGGCGCAGCGGTTGAGCGCTGGGTGGCGAAGCTGCCCGCGGCCTCTGCGGCGCCGGTTCGATCCCCGGCTGCTCCCCGGCCACCGGAGGAGGGTCCCACATGGCGCGCAGACCTCTCCTGCCGCCCGCTGCTCCCCTCAGCAGTGTCCTTCGGCCCTTCTGCCTGCTCTGCTCCCCGCTCTGGCTCTGGTGAATTCTCTCACCCTCCCGCGCTTCTGACTGTACCCAGTGCATGTATAAATAAAAACAAACAAACAAACAAATAAATAAATAAAAAACATGCCTCTATAAAAAAAAACAAAAAACAAGTAGCTGATCTGAATAGACACTTCTCCAAAGAAAACAGACAGCCCACGGACACAAAAAACAGCGATCCTCGTCACTCACTATTACGGAACAGCTCGTCAAAACTGTGAGACATCGCCTGCCGCACACAACGGCTGTCATGAAAGTGACAAGAAACAAGTGTTGGGGAGGATGGGGCCGGAAGGGAACACTCGTCCACTGCCCCTGGGCTGTAAATTGCTGCAGCCACTGCAGGAAACACGGTGGTGATTCCTGAAGGAAGTAAGAATAGGAGCCCCATATGATTCACTTACCCCACTTTGGGGCATCTGCCCTCCCACATTATCCCTCAGCAGCTTGCCGTTGGGAAGAGCTCCTCTGTGGCCCCAGCGCTGTGATTAGCAGTATTCATTAGCAGTGCTCCCTCTTGTTCATTATTCACCTCGATGCCCGACATCCCTCCCAGCTGGCCCCTACGGGTGGCGCCTGTGCCCTTGGCACGTGATACCATCGTCTTTATTACTTTTGCCTCAAGAACTTCTGGGCTGTCTCCTTCCCTTCGCTTGCCCTAGACCGTAATCAGGCATATTTTCAAGGAGGCCTGGTTCCTGTTAGGGAGAATAATATTTAGAAATCAAGACCAGGGGCTGAGGCGTGCGCCGTCAGTGCGCAGAACTGGGAAGTGTGCGTGCGTGCGGCATGGCCCCTGTGCCCGCCAGCCTGGGTGTGCCTGCCAATTCCTGTCCTCACGCTCCAACTCCCCGACCAAGGCGCTTAGCTGCCCCCAGGCCAGCAGTGGGAGAGCCATGTGGGCTTTGGGGACATTTGCCGATGGCTCAGGCCAGGCGAGCAGCTGCCTGCCAGGGCAACCCAACCTACTAAGTGGCGTTTGGGGGTCTTTGCGGGTTTGTTTTTCAGCTTCCATTGCCCTGAGACACAGGGCACACAGTAAAAATGCTGCGTTCAGGCGTTGCTTGGGTTTGTTTTGATTTCCTCTGTAGTTATGTTATTCATACGAAATACACTTAGATCACTTCTTTCTATTTATATTTTAGCTTTTTGCCCATCCTGTTCATTTTTATTCTGTGAAACTTCCAGAAGAGGCAAATGCATAGAGACAGAAAGGAGCTTCGTGACTGTGAGGGGCTGGGGACGGGGGCTGGGGACAGACTGTTTCATGAAATGGGCTCTCCATTTGAGATGAGGAATATTCTGGAGGTAGACAGAGAGAGTAGCGGCACCATGTAGTGAATTACTAAGTGCCCATTTAGGAGCGGTGGACTTCCACTTGTTCAGACATCAGCCTCAATGTCACCATGCCAGAAAGTTCTCATCTTCCTTGTTCATTTGTTGTTTCTCTATTTGTTGTTTATATAATACACTGGCGTGCACGTGCTTCCCCCCCCCCCCGCCACCCCAGAATGAAGCACAGCTGAGCAAGACTGGCTGTGCTCTCCGTCATGTCTTCAGGACTTAGCTGGCGCCCACCCATGCTGGTTCTTGGAAATACCAGACAGCACCTGTCCCCGTCTCTGCGGCCAGGGCACCAGACACATTCATCACGAACGAGCAAGCCTCTGGGATGAGGCTGGATGCCTGCCCAGCCTCGCTATCCACACTGGCCCAGCCCTGGCCTGGGATCAGGCGCCTCCCTCGGCGGCCATGGTGCAGCCGCCTCCCCCCACACACACCTGCCTTGAGGAAGTGTGGATCTCCATCCCTGACACTCCCCCTGGTCCTCTGGGCTCCCTCCCACCCCCAGACTCCCAGGGGTGTCAGGCTGCCTCCAGAAACCAGGTCCTTCCTGGGCCTCCCCGGTGGCACAGCGGTTGAGCGCTGGGTTGTGAAGCTGCCCGCAGCCTCTGCAGCGCCGGTTCGATCCCTGGCTGCCGGGCAAGGGCCCCGCATGGCGCGCAGACCTCTCCTGCCGCCCGCTGCTCCCCTCAGCAGTGTGCTTCGTCAGTCTGCCTGCTCTGCTCCCCGCTCTGGCTCTGGTGAATTCTCTCACCCTCCCGCGCTTCTGACTGTACCCAGTGCTTGTATAAATAAATAAATAAATCCTTAAAAAAAAAAACCAAACAGGTCCTTTCCTGCCAGAACCCATAATTCGACCTCAAGGACCTCGTTTTCCAGAAGCCACAGGGTCAAAGGCAGCTCTCTGGGAAGCCATGTGCTATTGGTTAGCCTGTTCCGGTTGCTTCTCAGAGGGCAGGGGGAGCTGGTGCCGTCGGCCAGACAACCCGCCCCAGGGTCCCGGAGCCCAGCCAAAGGCCCTGCTGAGGTTCTCTGGGGCTTAGGGTCAGGCCTGGCCGCCCGGGCGTGCTCTGACCTACTCCACCCGCCCCCCAGACATAGGACACAGACATCTGAGAGCTCCCGGCTGCCAGCTGGGCCTGCCTAGGTTGCAGCTGAACGGGACCCAGGTCCCTGCCATGGAAGAACCTGGCACAAAAGTCCCCACATGGGCCAAGTCTCCAGGCCCTCACTGCTGTCCGGCCTGTGCACTTGCCACAGTGGGCCAGACCAGAGCTGGGGCACTCCCTGGCCCTCCAGGCAGGAGCCGCCACCTGCCTGTCCAGTCAGCTCTGCCTCAGGCCAGCTTGCCTTCCTCGGCCACTTGGAGCTGGGCCTACCTGCCTCAGCTTACCCAACGGGAAAGGGAACTGGCTGCTGAGGTGGGGGCTGGGGAGCAGGGGCCACTGGCACTGTGAGAACAGCACACACCCCCATGCCAGAATGCCCCCTTGAGCAGTGAGAGCGACAGCCCCAGGGAGGGTGGCCCACCGGGACCATGGGCACTGGGGGCAGATGCTGAGAAGGGCCCGGAGCAAGGAGGCCGAGGGCGGGTTTGCTGAGCTGTGCTCAGGGTGCGGAGCTGTGGGGCAGCCAGGAGACTGAAGAGGAGCCTAAGGACGTGGGACACCCCTCCTCTCCCGGAGGATGGGCACCCACAGCAAAGAAGCACAGTGCCATGCGGGCGCCTGTGGAAGGCAGGCTGGCCGCAGGGACAGCTGGCCCTGTCCACGGCCCAGTGGGTCACAAATGCCTCCTTCTGCCTCCAGACTCATGTTTCTGCCGACCTCCCCCCAGCATCCCAGCCCTGCCAAACACGCTTTCGCGGCAGACACAAGACCAGAAACACTGAGTCCACGTCCATGTACCATCCAGAATAGGTCAGCGGAGACACAGAGACACAGAAGGGGGGGTGGGGCTGGAGGGAGGGGAAAGATGAGAGACTGCTCATTGGGATGGGCTTCTTTTGGGGGTGATGGAATGTTCTGGAACTAAAGCTCGTGATTACACAACCCGGTGAATATACAAACCGCCTGTGGGTTCCAGACTGTGAAATGGTCAAAATGGTGTATTTTACATTATATGAATCTTATCTAACAAAAAAGTGTTGCTTTTTTTTTTAAAAAAACAAAACCGCACGGTCACTCCAGCTCCAATGTAGACATTTTTTTGTCATGAGACGAATGCTGAGAATGCCAGGGTCAGGGGGTCAGTCCTGTCCTCCTTGGAGTGGCACATCGCGGGAGGGGAGCTGGGCACCCACAGCCGGGAGACACGATGGGGGGACTGGAGGAACCAGGCTGTGTGCCTCCTGTTCACCGGATCTGGGGTGAGGACGAGGGACAGGGAACAGCTGAGCTGAGCAGGGGTCCCCTAGCGGCCCCCCGGCCGGCACCACTGCCCCTCGGGCCGCCTCCTCACCGTGTACTTGTCCCATTTCTTCTCGGGGTCGTAAGGCTCCCAGCGGCTGGCAGGGAAGATGTGCTTGTTCTTCTCGTACCAGCTCCTCAGCACCACCTTGCCCGCGTGCGACTGCAGGGGCAGAGAGGGGTATGGGGGGCCGCTCAGGCCCTGCTTCTCCTTGCCTCTCGCCCCCCAGCCCCAGCCTCGGCCCCGGCCCCTACCTCATCCTTCTCCACGGTGGCATCGCTGAGCAGTCGCACGTCGTCGTGGACGTCAAAGTTAAAGAGCGGCCCTGGGGGAGAGGCAAGCGTCCCAGCTGGCACGCGCTCTGGCCTGCGCGTCCGGGTGAGGTTCGGGGGGAAGGGCGCGGGCACTCACCACTCTTCCCTCGTGCCTTGGTGACGATGAAGTCGTAGAAGCTGTGGTGCTGGCAGCAGAGGGCAGGAAGGCACAGTTGAGGGGCCACCTTGGCCTCTCCCGCTGTCCGTCCACCAGTGGCTGACCCGCGGTCCGAGCCCAGGCCCTGTCACCCCGCTGCGTCTGCCCGCCGGCACTCACATGGGGAATGATGAGGTCCTCCTTGATGTACATGAGCTGCTCCACCCCTGCCGACCTGCGGAGACGACGGGGAGGGCTGCTGGGGCAGGGCCAGCTGGGAGGCCAGCCCGGGAGCCGAAGGTGGCAGTTCAGGACATTTGGCGGCGAGGTCTGGGGAGCCTAGGACTCAAGTCCCAACGCCTCCACCTCTGGCCAGAAGAACTCCGAGTAGGTGGGGGGCAGAATGGAGCCTGCCACTCCTCCCAGGTGCTGGCACCCAGCGGGCCACTGCCCGGGCAGGGAGCTGGCCCACAGCAAGCAGCAGCCCCATGGGGCTCTGGTCGGAGCTAGGCCTGTGCTCACACGAGTCCTCAATGGTGCTACCTGAGCTCGCTGAAGTCCTTACGCAGGATCTCGAGCGCCTTCTGCAGGAACTGCTGCATCGTGTTGCCCTTCTTCATCTGCGAATCAATGGCCAGAACACCAGGCGCTGGGAAGGGCTGGGAAGGGCTGGAGCCGCAATGCCCCGCACCTCCCTGTGGGTGTCCCAAGGTCAGACCAAAAGCTCCTTCCCAGGAAACCTAAGGGTGGCTGAGCCCAGGATAGGCCCTGTCCCGCCTACCTTGACGGTGCGCCGGTGGCCTGAGCCGTCCCAGTAACTGAAGGTGATCTCGATCTCCTCGCCTACAGGGAAGAACCGCCTCTGGGCCTCCAGCGCACAGTGTCCCCAGCCCACCAGCTCCCAAGGGCTTGGGGCACTGCCCGAGGAGCTGCTGGCAGGAGAGCCAGCCGGGCCCCCATCCCCTGACCCCCACAGCCTGGGCAACCCGCAGAACACTCACTCTTGATCTTCTCCTGTTTGGCCTCCCACTCCTGACGCAGCTCCTCCCGGAGCCGATTCTCTTCCTCCTGGGAGAAGACAAAGGCGGGTGGCCTGGGATAGCTTGGGGGGCACACAGGGCGCCAGTTCCTGAGCAAAAGCCTCTGCCAAGGCTGGAGTCAAGGTTGGAGTCACATTTACCTCACGATCTCGGTCAGGCAAGAAGCTGGTGTCCACATCTGGGTTCTTCCCCAATTTCCTCTTCTTTGTGGTGACCTCTGGAGTAAAAGGAAGCAGCGGTCAGTGGCACCACAGCCCCCGACCTCTGCTGCTCGGGCCTCAGTTCAAACGCCACCCCCTTGGAGGCTTCCTGGACTGTCCTGGCTCCTCACAGCACCCCTGGAGACTGGAAAAGCACTCTTGTTTGGGGGCCTTGGCCTCGGTCTCCAGTGCTGCAGTCTGGACAGAGACTGGAGACCGAGCACCTGGAGCGCCTCAGAGACCATCTGGAGTGCCTCAAGGGCCCTGGGGCATGAGCGCCAGGGCCCAAAGGGGCATCCTCAGGGGCTGGGGCTCATTCCGGTCACAGAACTGATGCCATCCAATCTTCACGACCGCCCCCAAGGACATGACCTGCCTTTCTCCAGGGCGAGGGAACTGAAGCCCAGAGGCCCACAGCTGCCAACACTGGAGCTAGCAGCAAGAAGGACAAGTTCAGGCTGGCTACCATCCTGGACGCTGAGACTCAGTTTCCCCAAATAGGACACGGATAAACAAGTGACTGGGAACTCTGCACAGCTGTTATGGGAGGGGTGTAGACACGGAAAGCCATCGAATTAGAAACAAAACCTCCAGAACAAGGCAGCATGTGCTATATTAGCTACTGAAGCCACAACTTTGTCAGTCAGATGATCTGTGGAAAATGCTGCTGCCCATTCGTGAGAGAACGAGTGTGCCAATGGCAAAGAACATCTCAGTTAGATTATGAAGTTTTGACAAGCAGGCCCCCTAAGTCTCAGACCCCTGGAGTTCCACCCCTGGAGTGCTCTTTGGGAAGCGCAGGCCTGGCGGACTGGCCTCAAGTGGCCCTTGTGGACCCAGGGCAGGGCTCCCTGAGCCTGGCTGTGCCAGAGAACCACTCAAGCTTGGGGCTGAAGACCAGGCCCTAAAACAAAATCTCCAGAGCACAGAGGCACCCCCCAAGCCTCCCTCTGGATCTACACTGTCCATAGTGGCAGCCCCTGGCACACAGACATGCAGCTTATGCTCATAGGCTCTTCTTGACAGTGTGACTCCTTTCAAAGCTGTCCCACCCAGTGTGGCCCCCAGGTCCTCAAACAAGCCCCCCCAAACTCTGAGTGCACTTGCCTCCACCAGTCAGCCCCAGTACCAGCTGCTGATGAAATGCACCCACCCTCGGGCCTCCCCGGTGGCGCAGCGGTTGAGCGCTGGGTGGCGAAGCTGCCCGCAGCCTCTGCAGCGCCAGTTCGATCCCCGGCTGCTCCCCGGCCACCGGAGGAGGGTCCCACATGGCGCGCAGACCTCTCCTGCCGCCCGCTGCTCCCCTCAGCAGTGTCCTTCGGTCCTTCTGCCTGCTCTGCTCCCCGCTCTGGCTCTGGTGAATCCTCTCACCCTCCCGTGCTTCTGACTGTGCCCAGTGCTTGTATAAACAAATAAAAATAAATCTTTAGGGCCTCCCCGGTGGCGCAGCAGTTGAGCGCTGGGTTGTGAAGCTGCCTGCGGCCTCTGCGGCGCCGGTTCGATCCCCGGCTGCTCCCCGGCCACCAGAGGAGGGTCCCACATGGCGCGCAGACCTCTCCTGCCGCCCGCTGCTCCCCTCAGCAGTGTACTTCGGTCCTTCTGCCTGCTCTGCTCCCCGCTCCGGCTCTGGTGAATCCTCTCACCCTCCCGTGCTTCTGACTGTACCCAGTGCATGTATAAACAAAACACACAAATAAATAAATAAATAAATAAAACATGCCTCTATTAAAAAAAAAAAAAAAATTAAAAAAAAAAAAAAAAAAAAAAAATAAATCTTTAAAAAAAAAAGAAACAATTATAAAAAAAAAGGGTATAAAGAGTTTAAAAAAAAAAGAAATGCACCCACCCTCAAGGACCAAGCCACGTGGCCTCTGGGATGCTTCCCTGAGCTCTGGGCCGGCTTGGGGGACTCCCATGAGAGGGATGGTGCCTGCTTCTGCCTGCCTGCCCGGTGCTGCGAGGAGCAGGCACAACGTACCCACTCACCCCCACCTGCCGCAGGCGCCCGTTGCCCCATCCCCTCGGCCAAGATCTGCACTGCCCGTCAGTAGCCACCGAAATGCTGTGGGCATCCCCAGTGCCATGGAAACCGCCACAGAGGGATCCCAGTCACGCCAGCTCCGCGCTCACGGGCCACCTGGCAGCGCCCATGCAGTTCCGTTGCCACACCAAGGCCTACAAGCCGGCCAGCTCCAGTCTGTCCACGGCGCATACGAAGAGCAGCTTCTGAGGTCTTCTAGGTGGGCCCCAGCCTGGCCATGGCCGCCTCCAGCCCATAGGCCGGAGTCCCTCAGCCGCAGGAGGGTCGCTGGGTGACGTGGGGCCAGGGCAGAGCTCTGCGGGCCAAACTCCAAGTCTGTCCTCACCTTCCCTCTCCAACTCCTCCTCTTCCACAGCCTCCTCGTCCTCCTCGCCTGCATCCTCCTCTTCCTCCAGGGTGAAGGACAGGCTGGAAATCTTCCGCTTGGCCTCTTTTTTGCGCTCTTTCTCGCGCAGCTTCTCTAGTTTCCTGCCAAGAGGTAGAGAGGGGTCAGGTTCCAGGGCCAAGAGCCGCTGTTGCTCCCTGTGGGGGCTACTTGGGGCCAGCCCAGAGAAGGCTGCTGGCCTGGGCTGTGGTGACCACACAGGCTGACCCGGATGGCTGGTGTGCGGAAGGGAGGGCCCAGACATGACTGGCTAGCGTTTCAGGGGACCAGAACACGCGCACTGACAGGGGGCTCTGGAAGGGGGCTCACAGCTGCAGTTCCTTCGACTGCTCCTTCTTGGCCAGCTGCTTCTCCCGCTCCTTCACCAGCGCCTCTTGCTTGGCCTTCATGTCGTTCAGGGTCACGAGACCTGTGGTGAGGGGATGTGCGGGGGTGTCAGTCCCGCAGGTGGCTTAGCCGCGCCCCAGGAGGGCAGCGCTGCTCACCCACGGTGCTGGACTTGAGCTCGGCCTCCACCGCGTCGTAGTGCGCTGAGAACTTCTTGTCGATGTTGGACTTCATGATGTTCTCCTGTGGGGTGTGGCGAAGGCTGGGGGCGCGCGGTGAGAGCCAGCGCCAGCCCCCAGGCCGCAGGACTGGCCTCTGCTCCCGGGCTGCCTGGGCTCTCACTGCTGTGACCTTGGGACACTGGCCCCTGCCGCCAGCACGGAGGGAGCCTCAGGCTGTCCCCCGTCACGCCCACACTGAGGACCCTGGCTGCCTTGGCCTTCTGCATGCCCAGCATCTGGGCGGTGGCTCTGGGCACCCAAGCCAAGAGGTGACAAGGGAAGGGTGGCGGGGGCCCTGTCCCACCGCTCCCACCGAGGTCCCCTCACGCCTGTGGCCTTGAAGCAGGCAGCCAGCGGAGAAACGGGCCTCGGGAAGGACAGAGTGAGCACGGTGCCCAGCTGCCGGCCACGCGCCCCTAAGGCGGGCCTGCTCTTTCGACAAGTCTCCCCCAAGGACCCAAGCGCGGAGCTGCCCCCTTCCTGACTGGCCGCCGCCGCCAGCCTCTCGCTGGGGCCCTGACGGAACTGCGGGGGCTCCTGCCCGCCTTCCCCGGGCAGAAGGCTCGGGAGCGAACCCGGCCGCGGGTGGGCCCAGGCTCGGGACTGGCCAGCTCCAGGGCACAAGCGCAGAGGCCTCGCTGTCGGGGCAGAGCGGCCTGAGCTTGGATGCCCCGCGCCCGCGAGGGGCGCTCCAGGGCCCCCAAGGGCAGCGCGACCGGCGCCCTCGGGATGGAGGCTGGCCGCGAGCTCCCGGACCCAGGTCACCCCGAGCGGACGGGCGCGGGCGCGCTCCTCCCCGGGGGCCACCCGCGCGCAGGAGTCCGGAGCCCGGCGCGCCGCCCCGCCAGGCGCCTCCCGCCGGCTGGGCCCTGGGGAGCGGGCGGCGCGCATGCTCCGGGCCCGGGCGCGGCCGCACCTCGGCGATGCGCTGCTTCATCTGCTCCATCTGCTCGCGCTGCTTCTCCCGCTTCTTCATCAGGTGCATGGCGCGGCCCGCCTCGCTCGCGGCGCCCTTGTACTGAGCCATGGCGGCGGCGGCAGCGGCGGCGGCGGCGGGAGCGGCCCGGCGAGACTCGGGAGCTCCGCGGCGGCCGCGCAGTCAGCTGATGCTCGCGCCCGACGTCGGCCGCCCGGAGACGCACGGCGCCCGCCCCCACGTGACCCCGCCGGCCCCGCCCCGCGCCTCGCCGCCCGGGGCCCCGGTCTCGCGGGCTCCCGCCAGGGGCACCCTCGTCCGGAGGCCGGGCCGCCTCGCGGCCTCCTCGCGTTGACTCCGGGGCCGGCCCCCTCACTTCCATGACGTCGAACCCCGCCCGTGGGCCGACCCCCGGCACCTCGGCTCTCTCCCCGCCCCCGCCGCGCCGTTCACGGCTTCTGGGACTTTGACCGCCATTCCAGACTGGGCCCGTTCCCTTTCCCCAGGCCCGGAGGCCGCGCCGGGCTTCGGGGCCTCCTCCACGGCGACCCCCCACCCGCGGCCGGAGCCCTCTCCCACTTCCCCCACCCGGGCCCCGCCCAAGCCAGCACTCCGCCGCGGCCCTTTTGCCTTGGGAGCTCCAGTGACTGGTGCCAGAGCCCCAAGCTCCGCAAACAGCCTGGGCCGGCCCAGCACCCAGCTCTTGGAAAATAAAACGGAGATGGGCTCGGGTTTCAACACAGTTTTATTGGGAGGTTTGCTTTCTGTGAAATACACTAGAGTCGGGGAAGGGGTCACGTCCACTTTGCAAGATAAGGGTTTCCCACCACAAAAGGAAGATGCGGGGCGGGGCGAGGCGAGCACTGGAGTGTGGATCCTTCTCCCACTGCCTCCTGCTTAGCTCACTTTTCTTTTCTCAGCAAGCACCAGACACAGTCACAGGACAAGAAACAAACACGGCAAGATCAACCTCCACAGGGGCCTGCCCAAGCCCTCCCCCCTTGGGCTGTGGCGGGGCAGGGGGTGCCCCAGCCCCAAGGCCAGGCTTTGGGCCAGAGCCAGTGCTCCCTTCTCAGAGTGGGCCCAGGTTAATAAATTAGAATAAATTATGGGGGTGGGGTAGGGTGGAACACAACTTTGTGCTGGGAGGGCCCCTTCTCTCCAACAAGCAAGAGTTGGTGGGGGGAGGCAGGGGGCATCTCCAAAGGCCACTACAGTGGGTGTAAGAGCGGTGGGGGCAGAAGTCAGTTTTTCCTCCACTTTCTTCCCAAACAGCAGAAGAATTAAGGGTGGGGGGAGAGACGAACACAAGGAGCAGAACCCTCTTTTCCAAGATAAGGAAGGGTCAAGAAAGAGGATGCTATCCAGCCTCCCCACCCCCATGTCCCAAACCATCACTAAGGTTAAGGATTTGGTCAGTGAATCAATGAGGTGGGTAACAGGAATGTGGTGGGGGAAGCAGAGGGTGCTGGAGACAGGGGTGCCCAGCCACACCCATCTCCCCAACCCTAGAGAACAGACTTGGGTATGGGGAGAGGGCATCAGGGCCGGGGGTGGGGGGTGGTCAGCAATCACTGATCACTGATCGGCTTCTCCAAAGACATCGTTCTGTTTGCGCTTCATGTTCTCAAAGTCAAAGGCGGAGCCTGCCATGCGCTTGTAGATGTCTTTGATGTCATTGCAGGTTGTCTCGAAGTGTGTGGTAGCGTCATAGGAGCAGGAACAGAACACCTGGGAACAGCCAGAGCCCGGGGCCCGGGTTAAGCCGGGCAGGGGCTCTGGGCACACAGCCAGGAGCCAGGGCCGGGACTGGCTGCTTACCTGGCTCTCGGCACCATCGTCGACAGGCTCATACAAGTCACTGATGGCCACGAACCTGAGGGGCAGGGGGAGGAGCAGGGACGGGTGTCACAGCCAGGCTGGCCTTCCCTGGCCGCTGCCCCCAGCCCCTCAGGCTCCTCCCTCCACCCAGCCTGGCTGGCCCCTCACTTCTGGTCAATGGGCTCCAGCAGCTCCAAGGCAGGCTCAACCTCTTTTTCGGGCTCTGCGGTCTCCACTGTGGTGCTGGCGATGGCGATGTACTTGCCCTGCGCAGCCACGTTGTGCGCGTAGGAGATCATGCACACGTAGATGTCTGGCCACAGGAAGGGCGCGTGAACGCCAGCACGCGGAAGACCCACCCCCACAGCAGGCAGCATCCACACCGCCACGTGCACCGAGGGGGAAGAACCCGAACCCTAGGGCCCAAGGCATGGGAACTATGACGTGGGTCCCCTTTCGCCCATGGAGGCAGAGCGCACTGGAAGAAAACCTACCTGACTTCCTGTTGACCTGGTTCTGGGGGATGATGATTTGGCAGGAGTTGGCATCGTTGGTATTCTTGATGGGGTGGCTGAGGATACAGATGATGCGGATAACCTGGCCAGCCTTTCGCACACGGTCTGGGATGTAGCTGGGGTCACAGATCAGCTGCTTGCAGCGGGCCACCTACGGAAGCACCAAAGGACTCGTCCCTGTCCAGTCACTCCCTGGGCAGACACAGGGTTGGGCCCAGAGAGGGCTGGAGGCTCTGGCGTCAGGGCACAGCTCTGAGCAATCACCACTGGCCCGCCCGGAGCACACAGCTGTGGCCTGCGCCTCAGGGAGGGGGCCCAACACGCAGGGGCTAGGCAAAGCCACTCTCGGCTGAGACCGCGTGATCAGGAACGCTGGCTGGACCCAACACGGCCCGTGGGCACTGAAAAAGCTCTCTCGGCAACAGGAACTACTAAGGAGACTCCTGGAGCCCCACTCCCCAACCCGAGGCCTACAGAGTCAGGGTCGCTGGGACAAGCGCCTCCAGGGCAGGGACTGAGCTCCCCCCGCCCCCCAGCCAGCACGGCGGAGCGAAAGGCTCACCTCTCCCTCGGACTTCACACCCACCACCTTGCCGTTCTCCATGATGATGTCATCCACGGGCTTGTTCAGCATGTATGTCCCCCCATAGATGGCGCTCAACCTGCCGTGGGGGAGAGTGCCGTGAAAGCCCCTCCCAGGGGAAATGGGGACCGGTGCCACGGCAGCCCCCCACCCGCCGCTGAGACAGGGAAGGCCAGCATGAGGGCACAGATCCTCATGGAGATGACCTGGGGGAACAGAACAAAGGGCTCTGGAAAAGACCTCACTGGGGGAGGTTCCGGAGCCCTAGACCCAGGCGCAGCACTGCCGGACTCAGACAGGGAGCTGAGCAAGTCCCTCTGCGGAGCCCGGGCGCACTGCCCGTCACCCTGAGGCGGTGCCCAGTGAACTCGCGCCCTGATGGGAAAGGAGGAAAGGCCGCAGAAATGCCCACGGGGCTGTGTCCACCCTAAACTTGAGTCCTGCTAGATGCTGCCAACGGAGAGAAGCCAGGCGCTCACCTCGCAAAGCCCTGAGGCAGCTCGCCGAGGCCGTAGAGCGGGTACAAATATGGACTCTTGCCATACCGGGCCAGGGACTCGCTGTACAGCTTGATGCGGTTGATGGTCTCAAGACAGGGCTGATCTAGGTAGCTGGAGGGACAAGGGTGGGTGAAGAGGCCCCGCCAGCAGCACCCCCACTTCACCCCCACCCAAGCATCAAGCCAGCCTTCCCCCGACCCTCCACGGCCTGGGGAAGACCGTGGTTCAAACAGAGGGAAGGAACGGAAAGGGGCCCGCTGGCCAAGGAGCAGCGGGCGGGGGTGGAATGGGCAGGCTGCAGCCCGAGCCAGGGCTCCTCCGCCAGGCCGGCTTCCCCTAACTCATCGGTGCGGTAGAGCGCCAGGGCGTGGCCAGTGAAGTCGATGACATCTTGACCCAGGTCAAACTTCCGGTAAACATCGCGCATGCTGGTGTTCTGGGGGTCGACACCCTCAAAGGTCTTGGGGTCATTCTCATCAAAGTTTGCCACAAACACCAGGAACTTGCGGAAGCGTCTCTTCTCAAACATGCCCATCAGGTCTGTGGAGACGGGGAGGACAACTCGCCGACTGCCGCGCGCGCACCTGGCCTCCTCCCGCCAGCCAGGCGCCCCAGCTCCCGGCACGCTGCTGCTCGCTGTGTGGGTTCACGTTGACCTCTCTGCCCTTCCCGGGCTCCGTGACCCTTTCTCTCCCAATGGGGAGTGGGCCTGGACAGGTTCCGAGGGCCTTCCAGGCTCTGACACGTGCGGATGCTTCACAGGTGAGGTGGGGCCCCTATCAAAGCCTTTCAAGAAAGAGCCTCCCCTACCCCCCAAATCCTCCTGTCTGTGGACGTCCCTCCCGGCCACAGCATTAGTTAGAGGTCAGAGCATAAGAGGGAAGACGAGGCAAGGGGCTTCTGGAGCTGCATGAGGAATGTGACCTTGGGCAAGGGACACGCTGGCCTGGACCACTGGCCCCGTGAGTCTCTGCCTCAGGAGACCCGCACTCACTGGATGCCAAGGCTTCAGTCTCGGTGGATGGCACTTTGTAAATCTTGCCACCCTTGTAGACGAAGCTGCCCTCCACCACCTTGAAATCCAGGTAGCGAGTCACCTCTGTGTACAGCAGCATCTTTACCAGCTGCCCTGTTGGGGGGTGGCAGGGGGAGACAGCAACGTCAGCAGGGTTCGCTCCAGAAGCTCCAGCTGGTCTGGCTGTCCCTGCTCTGGAGCCGAACCCTCCTCCGGTTGTCCCACTCACCCCACCCCCCTCACCTCCCTCACCATTGGCCATGAGGAACTTAGGGATCAGGTCAACATTCCAGTCTCGGCCCCGGCCCATCGCCTCAGGGGGGCCCTCCAGCAACTGAAAACGCTTATACAGCTGCAAGCAGGAAGGAGAGAAAGAGAGGCACCTTAAGGACCGCCTCTTCCCGCTCCTGCCCCCCCCCCAAGAAACCCTGGGGAGCAGCTTCAGATTTGCCAGGGATGGGCAGGACCCTGGCTGCTCACCTCCTCCAGGGGTGTGATGGAGGAGCTCTCACCCCCATAGTAGGGGTTCCGGTCCATGTGCAGCACCTTCTTCCCATTCACAGACATGATGCCCGACAGGATGCATTCCTGGAAAAGGGGCGACACTCGCTGCACTCCCAGCTGCCCACCGGCGGATTTGTTCCCGCCCCAAACGTGAGCGAGAGCAAAATCAGAACTCCGCGCCTGTGGACAGCTCCTTCCACCGCGCGTCTCCTCCCCTAACACCCCCGGGAGCACTTCAACCGGCCAGTGACTGTGACCCGCTGGGCAAACAGGTAGACGCGCTGCAGAGTAACGGGGTGTCAAGGGAGAGGGAGAGTGAGCAGCAGACACGCGGAGGGGCTCTGACCACTGAGATGCCAAGAAAAGCACCTATCTGCGCCGAGTGGGAAGAAAAGGCAGCCGAGACAGACACAATGAGCCACGGAGGGGACACTGCAGAGCGCCGGGGCCGGAGGGGAAATGACAATGAGTCCACAGGCGGGCCCCGCTCTGGGGTGCTCCCATTAGCGGGCAGGAGCCCCCGACCCTGCCTTCACCTCCATGGGAAGGGCTTCTGTGGCCCCCGGGTGGGGGGGGAAATGAGCCTCCCGGGTAGCCGTGCAACAGGGTATGGGGACAGGGGGAAGACACCCCCACCGGTGACTGTCACCAGCCCAAGGACAAAGGATGTAGATACTACTCAGCGTGAGGTCTCCATGGGAAACCCGGGTGGGGTAGCGGAAACGTGGTCACTACCCCCACTGCTGCTCCTTCTGGAACATTCCCCGGGTTCCTCCGGTCCCGGCAGCAGCCAGAGAGCCAGACTGAGGGCCCACCCTGGCGAGGACGCCCGATCCGAGGTCCTTGGGCCCCACCCCCACTAGGCTTAGCGCAAGATGGGAGGGGAAGCTAGGCGGGCGGCGTCGGGGGCCCTGGGGGACAGCGGGCCTACCGGGGGTGCGTTTCCCGGCTCAGCAGGTCGGGGCAGGGGGCGCGGGAGCGGGAGAGGCCGGAGCCCGGGAGTTGAGGGGGCGTCAGGAAAAGGATGGTTTCTTGGAGACGGGGCCTCGGCGGCGGACAGAGACTGGAGCCCTCGCGGAGGCGGGGGGCTCCGGCTGTCTTCGGGGAGCCGAGACGCGAAGCGGCCGCGCCGCGGACGGCAGTGACGAGAGGCCGGGGACGGCCTCGCAGGGCGGGCTGCGGCGCCGCGGCGCCTGGGGGCCGAAGCCGCACTTACGGTGAGGCCGGTGCCCAGCACGATCACGTCGTATTCCTCGTCCATGGTCAGGCTCGGTGCAGCGCCGCGCGGCTCCTCCTCCTCCTTCGCCTCAGCGCCGCCGCACTGGCCAAAGATGGCGGCGCCGCGCCCGACCCCTCCGCCGCGTCAAAGAGTCCCGCCCCGCCCCGCGCCCCGCCGCGCCCGGCGCCTCCGGGAAGGGCCGCGGGGTCCGAGCGCCGGCACCAGCGCGGCTCCGCGGGACACGCCGCTCGCCGCAGGCCCCGAGGGGAGCGGCGGGTGGGGTGCGGGGGGTGGCGGGCTGACGGTGGGGCGGGGCGGGCGCGACCGGTGCTGCGGCCGCGAGGGATCCGTGCGCGGGAGCCGCGCGCGCCCCGCCCCACCCCGCCCCTCGGGAGGCTCGGCGCGGCCCCGCGGGCCGGGCGCGCGCCGCTGCGGCAGTCGGAGGCGGCCCCATGGGGCGGGGAGCTTGCGGCCCGCTCCCCCACGGTGGGGGGCCCCGCGGGTGGGGGGCCCCGCGGCCGCCGCGCTCCGGACCCCTGGCTCGGGCCGGGGGCCCCAGCGAGGCCTTGCCCGCCGGTCTCCCCCCCCCACACACACCTGGCACCGCTACATCCGGGCGCCTCCTCCTGCGCATCCCTTGTGCCCACGGCAGGAATGAGTGACAAGAGGCCCAAGCATGGCGACCCATCTTTATTGTATTAGGAAGGAAGCCCCCACGGAACATGCCAGAAATCCAGCAGTCACCCCCAGCCCACCTGCCTTGGAGGTCCCTTCCTTCCCAGGCCACAGAAATAAGCCCCAGTGCACTGCTATGGCTAGCACATCACCAAAACACGCTAAAGACAGCCAGGCAGAACAGTTACCTAGTACTTCACACCCCCCAAACTCAGGGACCCTTCTGCTCCTGACTGCCACCAGGAGCCCCATCAAGCCCGGGAGGGCACAGTGGCTACACAAAAGCACTATGAACAGCAAGGGGTGAGGCGCAGATGAGAATAAATAAGGAGGGGACAGAGGGGCCCTACAACACAGGCATCCTGCCCTCTCGAGGACAGAGCCGGGGAACGCCACCTACTATCTAAGCATAATATGTACACCTTGTCTTAGAGATCAGGACGGCAGCCCCGGGGAAGCCCCTCAGCGGGGTGAACAGGGAGCAAGGCAAGCTGGGAGGACATTGAGGGTCATGCTATGGTGGGAGGAGGGAAGCCCTTGGGTCCCGCATGCCTCAAGGTGGGAAAATGACAACCTGGACCCCCTCGTGCCCTCAACCCCCCCACGGGTGCAGGGTCACACGATCTGGGTCAAAGAGATGGTAGGGCCCTTGTGGTCATCGAAGCGGTCCATGGTCTTGAGGCTGAGGATCATGTGTAGGCCATAGGTGAAGATGAAGAGCATGAACAGGGAGGTGAGCAGCCCCATCCAGATGCCCGGGGAGAAGAAGCCAGCGCAGTCGCTGGCATAGGAGAACTGCTCGCCTGTCACGTTGAAGGCCTGGATCTGGGGAACATGCAGACATGGGTCAGAAGGAACTATGAGGCCCCGCGCCGAGGGGGCCCCAGTAAGGGCTGGGATGCCTGAGTCAGTGGGTAGTCCAGACGTCCAGTGACGTCACCCAACTGCGTTCCCCAGCCCCCACCCACACCCAAGCGACACCGAGACCAATGGGCCTCTCCTGTGGCCCCTCTACCAGTCCTTTGCCGCCTGCAGTGGGCTCCCCCTCTGAGGAACAGACCCACCCCACGCCATACCTGGAAGTCCCGCAGATTTATCTGCCAGAGAGAAGGCTGCGTGCGGGGCACGAGGAGGTTGCCATTCTGGCTCAGGCTGCTGACATACTCGCAGTGGAAGGAGTAGATGCTAGGTCCCGTGACCTGGGAGGCGTTGAAGACGACAACGGAGCCGTTGCTGTGGATTTCAAGGCGCTCCATGGTAAACCAGCGCCGGGCAGACACCGGGTAGAAGCGGCTAGCCAGCACGAACCTGGGGACGGCTGGAGGGTCAGCGGCTGTGCCAGTCGCAGCCACGCCCGCTACCCACACCTCCCCACCCCCTGGACTCACTTGAACATCACTGTGCTGCCAAAGAGGCGATCGTAGGTCAGTGCCAGCCTGCGGGCCAGAGTGAGGGGCGACGTGAGAGGCTCTGGGAGGGCACCAAGCGGCTCAGAGCAAGTGCCTCGGGTCTAGTCCCAGCAAAGCTGCCTTGGGCCTTCACTGCCACCCAAAGATGCAACAGCTCCACTCGACAGATGGGAAAACTGAGGCCCTGTCACATCCTAAGTCAGGACAGCAGCAGGGCGCCCCTCTGGCCAAGGGCTACTCCCCTGCTTCCCCTGAGCCTGCTGGCCCACCTTCCAGCTCCCTTTTGGTGTTCCTGGGCTGTCCAGGTTTGGCTTTGGGGTGAGGGAATATCTCCAGCCATACCCTGGGGAGGGTACGGGAGTCCCAAAACTGTCTCGGGCCTGGTAGGCATGCGCCCTCAACCAGTTGCCATGAGGTGGCTTGGGGGGGCAGCGGGGAGGGGCCACGGTGCCAGGTGACTGATGTGTTAACCACCAAAGTCCCAGCCAAGGACGAGAGAGCAAGGGGAGGCAGAACTTGGAGCAAGCCCCAATCCCACACCTTTCACCCCTCGCCACCACTCACATGCCCCCAACACACCCACCCACAGCAGTGGCAGGTATGTCATGCTTACCCGGCAACAGAGTCATTCCAGAAGGAGCCGGTCAGGTTGAGGCCCTGGATCCCAAAGGTGACGGAGGTGAGGTCCTCCCACTGGTCCTTGTATGCCACAGAGAAGTTCTGGGCCCAGAACAGGATCCGGGGAGCAGTGTCATTGTAACTCACAGGGGGGTGGATCACCGCTGACTCAGACTGTCTCTGCAGCAACTGGCGACCCAGCCCCCCGGCCACCACGGCGACATCGCGGGCCACCTGCAGAAACAGCCGACAAGCCTCCCATCAGCACCCCATGAAGGCCTGAGCCCAGTGGCCTACCCTCTGGCGCCACAGCACCCTCCCTCATCTGCAGTCCCAGTGGTCACTCAGCAACTTTTGCCGCTGGCCCTGAACCCTTATGATATTCCTGGTCCCCCAACTTCAGTGGAACACATGGACTGAGTGCCCAGGGCTGCCAGCCTGTTAGGGCACAATGGAGGGCTGCCCCAGGTAGGACACAGGAGCCACAAGTCAGCCTCCCCCGCAAAGTTGGCCCGACACCCCAGCTCCAGGCAGACTCGGCCTGCAGCCCCTGCCAGAGGACACTCACCCTGGAAGGGCGAACCGCCGTGAGGGCTGCGGTGTACGGGACATCTTCGGACTGGAGCGTGCTCAGCACCTGCCCGATGACCTCGTCTGGGGACAACAGGACAGCAGAGAAGGTCAGTGACAGTCAGTGGAACCACATCATCAGGGTGGGGACGAACAGATGTCCCCACTGTGTAGCCACCGCACCCTGGGCGCTGGCACGTCCCGGCAGTGGACACGCACCCTCGGCAGGCTCCCCGCACCCCTTGAGCCACTTTGCTCTCCTGCTGTCACCACAGCCGGCCCTCAGGTGCCCGCCCCACCTCCTGGGACGCCCGTGGCCTCAGCCTCGACTCCCTAACGCCAAGCCCTAACTCAGTGGTGCGAGGAGACACAGATCTTGAAAACGCCACGCCCGCCCACGGGAGGCACCCAAATACCTTTCTGCGGGGAGTGACCACCTTTCTGCGGGGAGTGACCACCTTTCTGCGGGGAGTGACCGCCCTTGTAGTAAAAAGGCAAGTTGTTGCTGGCTTGTTAAACCCGAAACTCGAGGAGCCGCACGCCACAGGCTCCCACATGGAGGGCCCCTTGACGGCCCGTAACTCGGCCAGGCAGGGCTCAGCTTAGGGGGGAGACCTGGGAGGCAGCAGGTCCCAGCTCAGCTGCCTTGAGAACCAGGGGGACCACCCTGCAGGGAGGTGGGGCCAAGGGCTGGACAAGGAAGGGGATGTGTACCCTGCTCCCACCCCACTCACCGTTGCCTGTGAGGACTTCCCTCGGCGCCATCAGACCCGAGCTGCGGGAGAGAGGCAGTGTTGAGGACCCTTCGGCCACCCAGGCCGACCTCCCACCAGTCTCTGCAGCGGCTCCTCGCTCCAGGCCATCCTCTGGCTGGGGCTGGGGACCCCGGGGTCCCGTGCAGGTGCCAGGTCATCCCTCCGTACCCTTGCCCCCTCCTCACCTGGCCTGGAATCCCTTCTTCCTTCCTCTCCTTCACAGCCCTGCTCCAGCCTCGGCCCACCCCCTCACCATGAAGGGGCCTGGCTAGGCAAGTCAGCACCCACAAGCAGGGCCTTCATGGGTCTCATCTCTGGCAGCCCGACCAGTACAGCCACAGACGCTGATCCTGGGGTCGCAGTGCACAGGCCCTTCCAGCCTCTTCAGGCCACACAAGGCACCTTCTGGAAAGACTTCAAGGTGCCGAGTGGGAGGACTATCATCTTTGCTGAATTGTGGCACCAGGGCCTCAAGGCTGTAGGCTGGGTCATACCTGGCTGTGTAGGGCAGGCGGATGAGCAGCAAGGCAGGGAGGCTGGCATTGAGCTTCAGCTCCCGCAGGGTGGCCAGGTCCACATGCAGGGGGCTGGCCCCGAGCTTCTCCTGCAGGTAGGAGGTCAGAGTGCTGACTGCGTACCAGTCGACGGCAGGAAGGACCAGCGACGAGGGGGCCAGCTCCAGGGCATTCTGGGTTTGAGGAGAGACCAGAGGATGAATTAGCAAGGGATAGGTGGGCCTGGGCCAGCACCCCCCCCACCAAACCTCTCTGGCAGCCCTCTCCTGTCAGGGTCTCATCCACAGCCAGAAAGAACACACCCCAGGGGCCTCCCTGGTGGAGCAAGGGGTTAAGCACCATACTATGAAGCAATCCGCAGCCTCTGCAGCATGAGTTTGATCCCTGGCCAGCCAGGAAGCAACCCACATGGCGAAGCAGACCTTTCCTGCCTCACCCCGCCGCTCCCCTCAGCAGTGTGTTTCAGTCAGTCTGCCTGTTCTGCTCCCCGCTCTGTCTCTGGTGACTCCTTTCACCGCCCCACCCCCACCGGCATCTCTGGCCTGTACC